GTACAGCTAATAGATTGTGTGGTGTATTTGTATCATGTAAGAATAATCAAACTCTAACAGATTGACAGGTTGCACATCATACTTCCACCCTCTCCCCCTCTGTCAAGCAAGATACAGCATGCCCAGAAAAAGGCCTGGTGGCTCACAATCAGCCAGGATTTTGTACCTCAATCTTAGTGAGGATTTTGGTTCTATCACTAGAAAGACAAAGCAGATCCGAACAACTAAAGACAACAAAGATGAGATTAAGGAGGAACAGAGGCAAAAATTACAGGGTAAGTATTTATTGCTTTATTTATGAAGTTATATAGTTTTTGAACAGTCTGATAGAGCTATGCAAGGAAATTCTGAAGAAACAGGCTGAACAGATGAGTCAAATCAACACACTGGGTGGGTTAGAGTATCAAGACAACTGTAGCAATTATGAGGGCCTGTTAGGTTGGATAGAGGATGCACTGGCACAAAATGATGGCTGGTCAACAGAGCAAGTTATTGTTGCTGGAGAGGAGGATGATTACAAGGACATAGAAGATGCAGAAGAGGAGAGTGAAGAGTGCTGCATGAAAGCATATTTGAGACAGTTTTGAACAAAGTGTGTACTAGAATCAGATATTAGCTCTCTTAATACATACTAACGTCTTTAAGGCACAGACAATATCACTCAAAGGTGGCAGAGCATGAGTGTATAGAAACATCAAACAAACACTGGGAGAGTCTATACGAGCAATTATTTCATGCTTATTTGGAGTGGGATGCAAATGGTGCTCCAGAATCAACTGTAGACAATGATTTGCATGATCCTATAATCTGTATTGATATGTTCAGTGAGTTTCCAGGTCTTAAGGATTTCAAAGTACATCTAATCTTTGGAATAAAGATAGGAACAGTCTTTCCTTCCCATACAACTCAGAGAGACCATTAACAGAAACAATGGTTTGTCATAGGTACATACCAAATGCTCCATTAAACCTGAACTTAGGTATTTCAATGTGTGTCCTTGAGGCCTACCAGGTGATAAGTAGTAGATGCCCAAGTCTTGGAATCCAGCCCTTCATGCATAGTTTGTGTGAACTCTATAATGTATTGTTTCTTATATCTTCTTCCTATGTATTCTAACTGTTTAATTAGATATTGTTTCAAACCTCATATGTAAAGATGTTTTTTCATGCTTTTGATATCTATCTGGAGATTTTGCAGTGTATTGAAGAAGCACTTGACAGGAGGAAGTATCCCACACTCATATCTTGGTACAAGGACATGTGTCCCTGTTGTGTAGCAGAACAACCAGACAAAGAAAAATTGGATTTCAAAATGTTGGTTTGTATGGATGGAAACGAGTCACTGAAACGAAATACTGTACAGTACTGTATGCTAGATTCTATAGGCAACACAACACAGATAGTCAACATTGAGAGGCCAGATAATTGTACAATACACTCAGACATTTTTGTAGAGGCATCTACTGTTAATAAATACCAATATGAGGTAAAGAAACATTCAGAAAGGGTGAGTTTATTATATTATTCTGTTAAACTATAGGGGAAGCAAGGATGGAAGTAGTGTTTATGAAATTCATTAAACTTTTCCAGCATGTTTCAGTAATACTGATCTCCTTCATAGATTCTAGAACCAATACAGAACAGAAGCAGTACTGTTGACTTGGGTACTACAGATAGAATAGAACATACAGGACTCTCTGCATCTGGTTCAACAATTGATGAAGAAGGCTCTCCAGTTGATAGTGTTACTGAGAAAACTCTATGTACAGATTGCTAGACAAATCTATCAGCAGACTCTAAAAAAAAGATGTGGGGGACCTTTTCTGAAACTGGGATTTTTATTACTGTATGTTGTCATAGTATAGTCCTTCTTATCTGTGACATGATTCAAAGTGGGGAACTGTGAGTAATCAATTATTTATTTCATATTTGTGAATTTGAACTGACAGCTACTATTAATAGTGCCAAATATCTGCTTGCATTGACAGGCCAGTTGATAGAAGTGTTTGGTGACAATCTTATGGTTGGCTATGACATTGGTTACAGATTCTCCACAACAGCCAACAATAGCAAGTTGCTTGGCCCAAAAATTCAAGCAAACAATTGTCACTTTTGCTGTAGGGCATTTCATGGTCATACACATTGTTGAGAGTGCCAATTACAGTGGCACCTGCAATACATTGATGGTACTGGCTTAGAGGATTTTGAGGGCTGTGAACAAGTCTTTTCCAAGTCGAATCGAGTAGCATCAATTACTCGTTACACTTTAAAGTTTCATTGCAAGCAGACAATATTGCAACATTTTACTCAGTGGAATTCTGATAAGTTTGCAGAACTTTGTAAGTACATATACTTAATTTTATCTTATATACATTCAGTCTAATTACATTTAGCTTGATTCATTATGAACAATTATAGACAGGCTCTTTACAATACTGAGAGCTTGACAATTGAGCTTACTAGAGCAAAAACAGAGCTTAGGATTGATTCAGACAATGATTTTCTGAAATGGCATACTAAAGAAGAGATGTATTTGAAGGCCCTGAAGTCTGGTAAACCAAGTGAAACTGAAGAATTGGAGCAACAGTATGTAAGTCTACTTAAGAGACATTCTGATGCAAAGTAAGTATTTGATTAACTTTTACACATATTACTCTCTAAATAATTTAATTAGAGCTTTTTACAATGCTCAATTGACTGAATGGGTTCATCTGAGCCCTGAGGACTTTAGAGCAGGCAACAGCCATATTGCAAGAGCTGAACAAGATACAAGGAATGCAGAAAGAGCAAATATGAGGGGACTAGACACTCTCCTTACAATTCAGAACACATTACAAGCCATTGAGGGTAAACTTTGTATTACAGACTAGTGGACTCCTGATTCATCAGACTGGAAACGAGTAGACAAAAGTCTTGCCAAGCACTTATATGATAAGGCTATTGACAAGCTTGAAGGAGAGGTTATGGCACAACTTTTTGAACTTGCAAAAATGAATCAAGCTGGGACTAGTATGTAACATTTTTATTTATTTTCTTCAAATAACTAACACACTTATAGGGTATAAGCAGAGGCACTACATTAGCAAGGGGATCAAGGCACAATCAAAAACTGTGATGGCTGCTGTCAAGTCATATAATGATGCTGCTACACAATTGGGCCTGCCATCTCTCAAAGTCAGTACAGTACTGAAATACATCTTTATTGGCCAATTTGACGTTCTTTGCTTAGGTTGCCTTCAAGTAGATCAAAAGCCTTGGATACAAGAAGCTGAACATAATGCTGCACTAAAGTTTTTCAAACTCAAACAATCCTATGAAGAACTTTGGCAATTAAACATAGAGATTTGAAGGCTATATATGTACATCATCCAATCAGAAGTGAAGATGGAACAGGAGATCATTGATCTTGAGTGTTGTGATCCACTCCTTGCTATACAATTGAAGAAACAACATGCACTTTGCTGGGCTACAAACTGATTGTATATTACTTGTCTCCAAGAAATCAAGGCCTGGGATGTGTTTACCAGGAATAGGGAGCCACTGAAAGGGCTTATTAGCACTAGGGACACTGTAGGAAATAAAGAGAAGGTATATTCAAGTTTAGACTGCTTGGATACAGAACTACATGAGGAAGACATTGATGAGGATGATACAGACAAGATTACAGAACTTTCTACAGCTCTAGACGTTTTGTCAGTTTTTGAACATTAATTTAGCTTACTAATAATGTATATACATAAAATCACATATTTATGAAATCAGAAGGTTTTGCTGAATGATTATGAAGCTTAGTCTCTTTCTGTGAAATCTGTTACAATTCTCTACTCTCTTACCTTCAGTTCCAAGGGTTCTGCACCCTTCTGTACCAGAACTCAGGACTTCTGTCCCTCAGAGGTGCTGTCTATAGACTATATGCATGCTAACTCTTACCACTACCCTTCCTTACTTCATCATTCCATTCCTTTGACCACTCCTTCATTCTCTGTTCATTCTATAGTCTCTTACCCTTTGTCCATCCCTTCATTCTTTGTACCTTTATCTTTGACATTCCTTTCTTTCATTCTTTGTAGCTTATCATTCTTAGTAGCTCATGCTCCCTGAGTGCTCTTGTGTAGTTTAGTATATATAGGCATACAAGATCAGACTAGTCCTGTAGTCTTGATCTTGTCTACTCTAGGTAGTCCTGTACTCTTAGGCTCACTCTATATACTCTACTCTTGTCTCACTCTCTCTCTCTGCCTGTTCTGCAAGTTCTGACTACATTCTGGTGCTTGTGTTCTGTATTTCTATTGTGTAGGATAGTTGTAGCCTGGGTCCCCTCACTGAGCCTTCAGGTCCCCTCTATACTATTGCTGACATCAGATCAAGACTACCCATTACTACCCTACAACTCTCCTACATTTCAGGCATTGGTACACACTGTTACATCAATCTATTTCCTTTGTCCTGACCCTTTTACATTTTTAAATTTTAAACTTTCTAAACCCTTTTAAACTTTTGCCACTCTTCTTCTATTCATTACCCCTTTTAGTTTAGTGTTGATTCCTTTGTAGTGTAAACATGGACCCTACTATACTAACTGCCACCCCTACTGTCCTACTGGATCAGCAGTTACAAGCAGAACTAGCTTAATATGTGTAGACCTCCATCTAAGAGGCCTTTACCAACCACATGCCCTCAGCCCCTTCAGAACCTGTTCCAATCATTCTGGAAGTCACAACCTGTTCTAGAAAGAAAGTGTATGTAGCCTGCCCTTTAGACTTTAATGGGCAGCACTTTAAGGACTTCTAGCACCAAGTCAAACTATATGTGGTTACTACTTTGACCAATCTATCCTCAGATCTCAATTGTGTCCTATTTGTCCTCTCCTTCATGAAGGAAGGCAACACAGCCACCTGGGCCCAGAACTGGATTGAAGGTCATCAGATTGGAAGCCTGATCTGACTTTAGAACAATGAGTTGTACTCAGAATTCATAGGGCAGCTCTGTGCTTCCTTCATTGATCTGAATGAGAAGCACAATGTGTAGAACAAGCTTGTGTCTCTGTGACAGGGCAAACGTTCTACTGATGCCTTCTTTCAGGAGTTTGATATCCTAGCCTGGAAGGCAGGATTCATACTTGGGTTCAATAATGTCCTTATCAGAATGCTTGAAAAAGCTCTTTACCTAGAACTAGTCAATAAGATTCTTAGAATGACACTGGAACTAGTCACCTACACTAAGTGGAAGACACACACCATCTTCTTCAACCAAGCCACAGCTTGAATGTATCAAGTCTGTACAGAATGCTTACACATGTGTCTGGCTCTGACAGTTCTGAGCCCTCAGATCAATCTGCCTGTAATTCACAATCAATCTGTTCTGATAGACATTAGAGAAGCCTGAAAGTAAGGAGCATGCTTTGCCTGCAGAAAGTCAGAGCACCAAATTAAAGACTGCCTGCAGAAGCAACAGTATATCTGTCAGGTCATTAGAGTGATGACAAGTGATGAGCAGGATTTGTGGCAAGAAGCCTTTTCTGCAAATCCAGAAGTCACCTCAGAACTCTCAGACCCTGACTATGTACCCTAGGATTTTGTAGAGGCCTAACAGTGAATGCAGTACTGAAGGGCTATGACTCAGATTTTTTAATGGCCACTTTTGATTCAATGGACACTGTAGGATTAGAAGTAAATAAAGTAAGAAAAGTAGAAAAAGTAGAAAAAGTAGAAAAAATAAATTAACAAAATTATTTATTAGAAAGAAAAAAGTTGAAAACAAAAGTAGATAGTTCTCCTATTTCTTCTGATTCTTTTGATTCTTCTCTTTGTACTTTATCCAAGTCTAAATCTGCACAATCTGACCTGCTACTTCTGTGTTCTAAGATCTTAGAATGTTCAGAACATTACCCAGCCCTATTCACTACTCAGTAGTTTGTCTGTAGTATCAAGTAGGGATAGCCTCAGCTGAGTTCACAGCTGAGGACATGAGTCTGTCCTTGTTGAAAGAGAGAGGTTAATGAGGAAATGTTAGTACATATACTCACCCTCTCAGACAATGAGACTGTACAAGCTGTATGTTCCCTTCAGAACAAGTAGCAGTTCATCTGAGGACATTCTAGACACTAGCTCTAAGTCTCTGTCCTCTTAGCTCTCTTCTCAGGATCCCCCCAGATCCAAACAACAGCTCTAGTAGACAGTGGATGTACTGGTTTGTGTATTAATGAGGCCTTTGTGTAGGAACACCACCTCCCTACTTGACACATTC